AGGGTGACCTGCAGTATCATCGGTCCCGGTGTGCTGCTTGCGAGACCCACGCCCCTTCCCAGCCTCCGGAGTCGTTGGTTCTGACCCCAGCGCCAGACTATCCCTTTCAACAAGTGGTGGCCGATTTGTTCCACCTGCAGGGCCGCACGTACCTAGCATATGCTGACCGACTGACAGGTTGGCTGGAGATCGCCCACTTCCCCAACGAGGCCACCTCTGGAAAAATCATCGCCAGTCTGCGGGCCTACTTCACGAGGTGGGGGGTACCTGAGCAGATCTCCACAGATGGAGGTACCAACCTTGCCAGCCTTGAGATGACAGATTTCCTCAAGTCATGGGGGGTCGAGGTGCGCCTCTCGTCGGCCCACTTCCCCCAGTCCAATGGCAGGGCAGAGGCTGGGGTCAAGGCTGCCAAGAGGCTCCTCAGGGATAATACTGGGCCCGGGGGTAGCCTGGACTGCGATAGGACATCCCAGGCCCTCCTCCAGTACCTGAACACGCCTCTGCGGGGGGTGAACAAGTCGCCCGCCCAACTTGCCACCGGCCGCCAGCTCCGTGACGGCGTTCCCGTGGCCAGACAGCACTATAAGGTGGACCAGCACTGGCGGCGGGCACTTCGTATGAGGGAGGTGCGCTTGGCCGAAACACAGGATGGGGTCCTGTCGCGGAGGGAGGTATCCCGCCAGCTGGCTCCCCTAGTCGTGGGCACGCAGGTGCGTGTGCAGGATGCAGCTACCAAGCTCTGGGACAGGACAGGCATAGTGGTGGAAGCCCGCCCTCACAGGCAGTATGCCGTCAGGTTGAGTGGCAGTGGCAGGGTGTCCATCGGCAACAGATGCCACCTGCGAAACGGCTCCACACCTGTGCCTACTACGGTGGTGCACCAAGCTGTGCCTCCTGGCCCTCTTCTGCTATGCCCTCCATACCTTCGCCCTCCCTCGCACCCCCGGCCCCTCCCCAGTCGAACGCGGCCAGGCCCAGGAGAGGCCGTAGGCCTCCAGGCTGGTTGACGGACTACGTGGTGTAGTGTATGTGATGTAAAATCAGTTTAGAGGTTTTTTTTTCCTTTGTTTGGCTGGTTTCTTTTGCATTATTGTTGTTTTTATGAATGCATTGTTTTCCTTTTGTTAGTTCAAATGTGCATTGTCATTTCCTTTTAACTTGGGCGGGAGATGTAAGATTGTACCATCGTACGAAATGTTTTCCCATGTTGAGGTGGGAGCTTGTCTTTGGCAGCGCCTGGTTGCCAGTCACCAGTTGACGCTGTTAGAATAAAGTCTACAAAGAACATGGTCTATGATTCAAACCTCTCACAGCACCTAACCCTATTTTTTCCATAAGCCCTGTTATTTCTATTGCACGAATTTCTATAACACGATGTTTTACAAGAACACAACTATCGCGTTCTAGCAGAGCTGACTATAAATACTGTATATATATATATATATATATATATATATATATATATATATATATATATATATATATATATATATATATATATATATATATATATATATATATATATATATATATATATATATATGTGTGTGTGTGTGTGTGTGTGTGTGCAAGTAAATCACTGTAGGTGCGCGTGATTCAGGTATATGCTGATAACCACAAGGAAAGAAGAAAACACGAAGTTCCCAAGCGCTTTCGTGTAATTCACATCTTCAGGGGTGAGTACAGACAATTAGTCCTACAGTACACTAGTCCGGGTCAACTGGACTTTCCCAATCATCTTATGGATACCCTGAGTTCTCCTTAATGCTATGAATACATACAATTAACATTAGATAACTGTACCTGGGTACAATACAACACATGGTCTAGTAACATTGAGTAGGTGAGTTGTCCTTTATCAATGTTTCCCGTTTTCTGAGGTTCTACAAGCGCGGTGGATTTGAATGTTATATAGCGTAATGTGAATTAAATGGGGTTTTTAGGAATGACAATGATGTGCACAGTACATAATCAGGTATATATTTACCAATTTTATTTTGCAGAGTCAAAACTAGGGCATGCAATGAAAATCATATAAGATTGCACTGTAATTAAAGAAACAAAATTTATTTACAGGAAAAAAGAATACAGTAAATGCCATTCTATAAGAGTAAGCAGTAACTTACATAAAACTCAAATCATTCTTAAATGTGCCAACTCTTTAAGATTAATAACTCAGTAAGACCACACTAAAACATATATTTTCAGTGATCACCATTAGCCCTCTACTTCAAGAACCTCATCTGTCAAGTTGTGAAAAAATTGTGCGTGATTAGATATACCTGCAAGCATATCTTAAAAAAATATCTTCAGAGGGCAAAAATTTGACTCATGACCCTGAACGTTTGAGGCACTCAGATGAGAAAAGAGCTCCATTTACAGTTTAAGTTTTTAAACTATTTCTTTCTTTGGTTTTGAAGAGAATAATTTTGCTGAATACTCTTTCACATTCAACCCAAAATTATCGTACAAACCGTACGATAATAGAAAATGTTATCGTACATCGTGACGAAGATGAATTTATCTTTTACTTTTTTTTACTTTTATCCTCTTCGCCACTGATCGGCTTGTTAGCCGCTTGGGCGATCGGTCACGTCTCTTTTCATTTATATTCTTCACCAAAAGATCGGCTCGCTAGCCGCCCGGGCGATCGGTCACGTCTCTGTCACGCACTGTTGGCAAATACTGGGCATGCACCGGCTCCTGAATGTACCTGAACCCGCTCCAGTGTTGGTCAAGTCTTCTCTTGAAAGAGCTCACACTCGGTGCCGTCACAACACTCTCTGGTAGATTGTTCCAAGAGTTTACAACCCTCACCCGAAAAAGTTTGCCCTCACGGTTTTCTGGACTTGCGCTTCTTCAATCTTGAGCTGTGACCCCTTGTGGGCGAGCGTCCGCCAGCTCCAAGTAAGGACACTCAACTGAGTAGTGCCCCTGAGATGCTTATACACCTCAACTAGGTCCCCCCTTGCCCGTCTGTAGTATAAGCTAGGCAAGTTCAGGCGCTCCAATCTCTCAGGGTAGCTGAGGTGCCGAAGTGCAGGCACCAGTCTGGTGGCCCTCCTTTGAACATTTTCAACCAACTGACAATCCCTAGCATATCTCGGGGACCAGATGAGGTGACAGTACTCCAGATAGGGAAGCACTTCACTCCTGAAGATCGTCACGAGGGACGGACCGTCTAGATATCTGAACGACCTTCTTATAAGACCCAATAATTTATTTGCCTGATTTACCTTCTTCTTACAATGGCCCGAGAACTTCAGCTCATTGTCAACATACACACCTAGGTCCTTCTCACATACAGTCTCAATTAGTGCATTTTCTTCATCCCGTTGGGACATATGATACGCCTCCTTACCGTTGGTACGCCCCAGGTGCATCCTCTTACACTTCGTGACATTGAATCTCAGCAGCCATTTCTTCGACCATTCCTGGAGCCCACAGAGGTCCTTCTGCAGCTCTTCACAGTCCGCTTGGTTCTTAATTTCCCGAAATAACTTGCCATCATCGGCAAACATTTGTATGGAGGAGTGTACAACGTCAGGCATGTCATTTATGAAACAAACAAACAACAGCGGGCCCAATACACTGCCCTGTGGTACCCCACTTGTTACAGGTGCAGATGACGATTTCGTGCCATTAATCACCACACACTGCTTGCGGTCATGTAGAAAGTCTTCTATCCACGCTAGGACATTTCCCCGAATTCCGTACCCTTCCAGTTTGATTTTCAGCCTTTCGTTGGGTACACTGTCGAAAGCCTTGGCAAAATCTAGGTAAATATTGTCGATATTACCACCCCGTTCCAGAATATGGGTCCAAATATCCAATACCTTGAGCAATTGTGTTAAGCAAGAGCGCCCCGGCATAAAACCGTGGTGGCAATCTTTTACAAGGTTGTTTCGTTGTAGATGTTCCATCGCTGCATCTCTGATAATACTCTCAAGTACTTTACATATTATGCTGGTCAGGCTCACCGGTCTATAGTTGTTCGTGGAGTGACTATCGCCCTTCTTGAAGATAGGACTCACATAAGCCACTTTCCATTCACTGGGGACCATTTGTTCATCCAGGCATTTACAAAACAGGAGCTTCAGGGGCTCTGCAAGCTCGTTGCACAGCTCTCATACATGCAAGTAAATCACTGTAGGTGCGCGTGATCTAGTTATATGCTGATAACCACAAGGAAAGAAGAAAACACGAAGTTCCCAAGCGCTTTCGTGTAATTGAAGATGTGAATTACACGAAAGCGCTTGGGAACTTCGTGTTTTCTTCTTTCCTTGTGGTTATCATACATGTATGATAATTATCATACATGTGACAACTCTGCTGCTTCAATATGATTGGCCAGCCAATTCAAATGCTATGATACCTGAAGGTCATGTCATGTCGCGAAGAGGAGGAGACAAGTGACTGGCAACATGGCGGGTACAGAAATTTACTCCTAGAAATTTTGTGAAATGTTCCGTTAATATTGATTTGCACAAGAAATGATATGAAGTCGTATGTTTTATTTTTTTTTGTAGCTGTAATATTGAAAATTGAAATCTTGCGGACAGCCAATGGACGAATATTAACATAAAATATTATAGTTCCATAATATTTTTTTTGATAATAGAAAATAAGGGAGAAAGGGAACACGGTGTTCTTACTTTCACTTCTAGCGAGAATAAATGTCCCTCATTCATTACTGTACAGAGAGACATAAATAAAGCCAATTATGCCAAACTGAAATTACCCTAAGATCTTAATGTTACATAAAGAATATTTATCTCAATTATATATATTTTATTAGACCTGTTTATATATCTAGCAGTATTATTTATCTTTTCTGAAATACGAAAAAGAATTTAAATCACCAACATACTGTAGTTTACGTAACTATTAAATACAATTTCAACCTTTATATATCTTCAATAGTTTAATAAAACCATTAAATATATATAAAATTATACATTTAAATAAGAGAACTGTGCGTTAGATACATGAATAATGAAAAAAAAAGTTTCTTTAGGTTGTTTGTGGTGTTTAGGAGGACAGCTGATCACTCCTCACAACTCAGACCAAATTTCCCATTCAAGTTTTTTCTCTCCCCTTACCATGTGATAAACAATCAGGTAAGGTCCTAAAACGTATATTAAAACCACTAATTAAACCTGAATTAATTTTAAAACTAGAATAAAGTTACGTAGTTGTAGATGAGATACGAATGGTGACTTGTTGTGCTTGTATAATAATTGACCTTTTTGAGTGAATACATAATTATTTATTTGTATATTGAGGGATTAAATAAGTATATGATGTGAAAGAGTGTGTTTTGGGGGTATTATTTAGCGAGGGAGATGAGTTATGTATAATGGGTTAGTGTTATGTTGTTTACGTGTATATTAAGGTCAAGTTCTTTCTGGGTTTGTGTTATTTGACCTGTTCTTGATATAGTTTGATCTTATTTGACCTATTTTTGACATATTTTGACCTTATTTGACCTGTTTTATATAGTTTGACCTTATTTGACCTATTTTTGACATATTTTGACCTTATTTGACCTGTTTTATATAGTTTGACCTTATTTCACCTGGGTTTTTTTATAATTTGACCTTATTTGACCAGTTCTTGATATAGTTTAGCCTTATTTGACCTGTCCTGTCTCCTAAAATATTAAAATTACCCAAACTAACCTAGCCAAAGGTAATTCTAACCAACCTAACCAATTTTAATATATTTTAACCTAACCCAAATAAAACCAAATCTAACCTAATAATCTTGTGGTCATTTTTGGTTAGGTTAGGTTCTTAACAATGAAAATATAGTGTTAGTGGATTATTTATATTATTTTCTTTTATAATTTATCTCTATAATCAGTCGCTTGAATGTCATTTTTATTTGAATTTTTTTTACCCAAATTAATTTTTAGCTGTGTAATTTATTTATTTGTTGCTTGTGTTTACTTTGTTATTTTTAGTTATATTTATAATTGAATGTTACTCTGGGTAGCTTCAGATGACCGATTAAATGTCGAAAAAGTCTGAATTACTAATACAGTCGAGTAACACTTGAAATGTTGGATACTGTACAAGAATAAAGGACTATTTCTTAAGCAGTTTTAGTGGATATATATATATTTTTTTGCATAGATCATTCTGTTCATTGTCATCCTCGCTGCAATGTTCAGTTACTTGGTGATGGCAGTGTGACAAGGAAGCTAAGTCCAGAATATGTCTTCAAAAGCAATACTCAATCTGCTTAATCAGCGCACATGGCTTGATTGATTAATACACCAAGGCAGTCAGTTTGAACCTGTGGTCTATTCACCCTGGATATATCATCTGTCGTACCGTATTAAAAAAAAATCAGCAAAATATCCCTCACAGACATCTGGCAGAAGAATTACAGTCTGGTGATGGCCTCATGACTTAGCGTTCCGTCAGCTCTTCTACTGTTATATATATCGTCTGTGTTGTGTACAAACTGATTCAAGTGAAATACAAAGAAAGGAGGTGGGAGATGTTATACTGGCAGATAGTAGCATTCATTCCTGTGTGTTATATGTCAGGTTTGGTAAAATGATTATAAACTTGTTGCTTAATGTTGTTGTTGTTGTAGAATATTTCCTTTTGTTTTGAAGGAAATGGCCTGCAGTGCTGATGGCTTACCCACAAGTGAGGCCCTCAGTCTCTTGCATGAGGACATCTCCATCGCTTTGGATGAATATCAGAAGACAGAAGCTGAAAAGTAAGTGTAGAAAAGATTATTAATTAATTTTGAAATACAGTATTAACCTGTGGGGCATATTGGAGTCTGTACTTTCTTGTAAATGAGGCGTATAGACTAACCAGGGCGTATGTGCGAATATCTCAACTCGGTTCAATTATTCGGGCTGTACTGCATGTTTTCTGCCCTTGGTTTCTTATGGGATTGTACCACGCTGGAGGTGTATCCACATTGCCTGACAATGATGCTATGGACTGACACAGAAAATGGGAAATTGAGCAACCCAGTGATGTGCCCTTGCTATTGTAAACACCTCATATGTTTGGTGATATTGTATTATGTTTTATATTTCAGGAACAAAGGTTTTGGACCAAAGAGTGTTCTGTATGAAGCCTTCCACCACAAGAGTAGTCTCTCTGTGTTTCATTGGACATCAGTGATAGCGTTGATCGTTGAAGGCATCGTGCTGCTGGTGGCCTTCGCTGCATGTAATGACCCCAGGTGTGTACAGTATGGGTCCATAAAATACAACAGGCATATGAAGTTACCTTTGATTCTTTCTGTGCTATATATTGACCTGAGAATGTGGACTGGTGTAATATTCTCCATACATAGGTAAAAATATATGACCTTATGATTTGGTATGAGTGTAAATACAAGCAAACATACAGTAGCAGTAAAGCAACCATTTGTTGACAGATAGGATAACTACTCTGATGTCCTTAATAATTTTTCCATTAGAGAATTTAAGATGAATTTTGTTCTGTTTAGATTTACAGATGATGTAATATGTTTATTATTATTATCAGGTACCAGCATCTTCCTGCCGAGTCCTTCTTCATTTTCTTAGCAGTAATTCTTAACGTGTACTTGGTGTGGTGGGACACTCAGCTGAGGCACAAAGAGGTCCCAAGACTCACACACAACGTCTTAAAGGATCTTAAAGGTAAAGCATTGTGACTTACGGTAACGTTTTTTTATTAATATCCGAACATTGTCTGTGAATTTTAAAACTGTTCTTTATTTAGTTACCCACAAAAGTACCGTCAGTGTGTGTGTTGTTTCATACTAGGACCTTGACACTACTCTCCTGCAACTTTCTACACTTATCATTACACCACTACCCACCACTGTTCTCTCCTAACTACAGTATTTGAGGTTTCTTTGTCACTTACTCTTGCTTGTTTCCGTTGGTGTCATGCGTGCCATTTTTTTTTTCAGAATACCACGGCAATGTGTTGTGGTCTGCCGAGAACTATCCTCACCTCCACTCCCCCCTCTCCCCCTGCATCACCCTCCAGTGGACTCGTCGCGATGGTAACACAGTCAACCTCCCTTGGTCTCTCCTGGTGCGTGGGGATATTATACTCATGAAACCTGGACAGAAAGTTCCTGCTAGATGTAGGCCCATGCAGGTAAGTAGTATAATTTTTATTTATTCCCAACATTTACTGGTACTACAGTATATGCACAAGTGATGCAACCCTGGTGCCTAAGGTCTGTAATTGCCTTGGATAATGAGGAGTACTGTATCTATTGAAATATATGTGGTGAAAGTTGCTGGCTGAGAAAGCATCTCCCCTTATTCAAATTAATTCTTATGGGGGAAAATTGCCCCAATATTCACAATTTCGTTATTTTCAATGACTTTTAGGAATGCCTCCCTTGCGATAACTGGGGTATTCCTGGTACAGTATGCACGTGACACAGTACAGCCGGGCAGTCACCCAGCTGACCCAATGCCTTAATACATATGTTCCCTTCCCACACATACACACACATGCTCTTAATTTTTTTTTTTTTTAGTTTTATAATTTCTTTATTTCTAAGCCACATTAGAGTATTGTAATGATTTCTTTTCTTCTCAAACAAGCACAGAGAAGCGATAAACATACTGAGATAAGGGAGAAGGATGGTTTGTTGATCCTTTATATAATGTACTTTAAACCTTTGTTATCAAACCACTATAAAACTATTTAAAATTCAGATACTGTACCATGTGGCAACAATGGTACATATTCTGTTACGAGTAATACTATTAGAAATGTCGTTTGACAATAAATTGACGATACGTATTTAGATAGCCAAGCAACTTATGAATTACACTGGTGTCAATATACATTACTGGACCCTCGATAAAGAATGATATTAGGTTCCTGAAACCTCAATTAGTTGTGAATCATTCTTTACTGAACTTCTTATGGGAAAGAGGGCAAGGGTCTGAACATCGCAAAGATTGACTTTTTTATCTATAGTACGTATGCCTATTTTCATCCACGATGGCGTCACAGCAGTAGAGTACTGCATTCACAAGAGTACTGTACTGTACATAACATAAAATATGGTAAGAAATGATTTATTGAGAATCGTGCATGTCGTATTCTCTTTACCACCGATCAACAACTAACCATCACCATCTCCCTACTGTACACCCATCTTATGATGTCAAACAACAAGCATGGAATTATTGTGATCCTAATACTACTCATAATAAAATCACTGGTACTGTACTTCCCAAGGTAAAACTACTTTGTTCAGCAGCACACCTCCATACATTATTTGTTACTTATGGCATTATAAATTTTATGATTTGACAGATAAGGATGGGTGTTTTATTCATATTTTATTTTGCATTATTAACAAGGTTCTGAGTTATGAATAAATCAACTTATGAACGGGTCCTGAAATGTAACCCGTTCATTATTCAGGGGCCCCTGTACAGTATACAGATTCATCCAAGGCAAACACTTGGATGGATGCCAATATGCAGAAATTAAAAGCAATATAACATTTACGAGACAAAAACTTATCATATTTTCTTTAAGATCTGGAGAAAAAATATAACTTAAGTGTACATCTATTATCTATACAGGTAGTTCTGCTATAACGCGATAATTGTGTTCTTGTAAAATATCGTGTTATAGAAAATCGCGTAATAGAAATAACAGGGCTTATGGAGAAAATAGGGTTGGGTGCAGTTTACTCGAAATCGAAAAAATTTAGTAGTTAGCCTAACACAAAGGATAGCACAGTCTAAATAAATGTTACATTCATATCTAATAATGAAATCATACAGTAAATTTAACACTTTACCTTGAAAAAATATGAATGTAACTTGATGGGGAGAAGGGTGATTTTGAGGTTGATAACATCAAGCTTCTCTTCAAGTGTTATATCCTTTCTTTTACGATAATCACCGGGAATTCTATCATCAGAATGCTTTTTGGAGATATTTTTCTTTACCATATTCACAGTTAATACCACAAAATTGGAGAAATAGTAAGCAAAAATCGCGTTATAGCAAACAAGCGATCGCGTTATACAAATATTGTTCCGAATTCATAAATCGCGTTAGAGCAAATTCACGTTATCAAAACACGCGTTATAGCAGAACTCACTGTACTGTAATTCAAAATTTATATTTCTTTAATATTGTATACCATCAGCTTCAAATTATATAAAGTTAAATTTACCTGTACATGTGGTTTCTTCTCCAACACTTTCTATGAAGATATTTCATTCCATCCATCAATGGGTCCCAGCTTTCATAATGTGTGAGAAGTGAGACAGCAATAAAAGATGTCATCATGGGAATTGCACCAATATAAATTAGCAGTGAATACTTGATGCCCTTGAGCCAGATGTCCACAAACATTGTCAAGGGAATAGTTAAGCTCAAAGATAAAGTAGCCATCAATGATGAAGTAAGGAAGCATCCCCTGCAAAATAAAACACCTTCAATTCCCAAATAATTCCAATGTAGGTCAAACAATTACAGTATTACCCCGCCTAACGCGGTTTCACTTAGCGCGTTTTCGCATATACGCGGTGCCTTGCCAGAGCTGAACTTTCACTTAACACGGATTTTTTCCACATATACGCGGTGAGTGTCCGGCTCAAGATGCTATTTTTAGATTTTGCCCACGCGCCACCCGCCTGCCTGCCTGCCTGGTAGCCACGCCTCTCACTCTCCCTGCGCTTGGGCAGCCCGGCGCGTGGGTTGCGCAGTGTGTGCGTAATGCTGGGCTGGTTATACTGGCGTCCGCCGCGGCGTGTCGGACTGTAGTGGCCATGCATCCCCTACCCCCTACTGCCCCGCTGGCTGGTGACGAAGTATTATTGATACCGGGAGGAGGAGGAGAGCGATCTTGACCTGCTGGTTTGATCCTCAAAGGCCACACCACGGTGTTACTTGGCATCCATTGTTCCATTAAATGAAAGCTTCGCCGGACCACTATAAGCCACAGAGAGACCTTTTCGGATTGTGACTATTGAAGACAAATTAGCTCTGGGGTGAAGTACCAAGTTATTAGATTTGGAAAGGAGAAAACGACAGATTGATTAAAAGCAGCATGGCATGGCGTCCAGCGTCTGATTAGAAATGGAGTCAGAAGGATGCAGCCAAGATCAAAGAGCACATGAAAATCACAAAGTCTGCAGGTGCTTCATCTATCAGGTATTGCCAGAACAGGGTGCTGGCAAAAGTGGAAAATTTGCTGGTGAGTTATTTGGTGCGTCAGGCGCGACGCAACATGGCGGTGGACACTCGCTCAGTGCAGGAGTACGCACGTGAGCTATACGCAGCAGTGACACGTAAACTGGGAATTGCAGAGCTCAAACCCTTCTATGCTTCCTCTGGTTGGCTGCATAGGTTTAAGAAGAGGAACAAGATCACCAACATCAACATTGGTGGTGAGGAAGCGAGTGCTGACCGTGTGGCGGCTAGAGATTTTCCTCCGTTCTTATGTGAGATTATGGAGGAAGGACAGTACAGTGACGACCAGGTGTTTAACATGGACGAATCTGGTCTTTTCTGGAAAAAGCTACCTTCCAAGACCTTCGTTGTCCAGTCTGCCAGCAAGGTAAGGGGTCGGAAGTTGCAGAAGGAACGCATCACCGTCCTGTATACCACCAATGCCTCCGGTACCTGTAAACCAAAGTTATCGGTGATTTACACAGCCCGCAAGCCGCACGCCTACAAGAATATGGACATGAACAAGCTTAATGTCCACTGGCTAACCGCACGTAAGGCGTGGATGTCCTCTTCTCTGTCCCTCTTCTGGTTTGACAACTGTTTTGTTCCCGACGTGAAGAAATTCTGCGAGCAACAGAATGTTCCATTCAATATTTTGTTGCTCCTTGACAACGCACCTGGACACTCTCCCCTACTTATGGATCGTCACCCCAACGTAAAAGTGGTCTTCCTTCCTCCCAACACTACGTCAATAATCCAGCCCATGGACCAGGAGTTGATCTGCAATGTGAAAGCTGCGTACTCTGCAAAGAAGTTCAAGCTCCTGAACGACTCTACCAACACCAAGGATGAGTTGCGTAAGCTGGGTGACACTGACAGCGAGAGCAAAAGCGAAGAGGACAAGGAACAAGAGGCGGTGACTCAAGAACTTCTCGTCAAACAATTTTGGAAG